GGGGGGTGAACAGACACCGACCCTTCATTATTCTTACCACTGCATAATAATATCCTGATAGTCTAAGAACTTTCAAAATGAAACGACTTAAAGTATGAACAGTAAATCGCTTTCCGAACGTGGTACTAATAGAAGTTTTAAAAAAGATAGCAGGATGTCTGTTCCCCTTTTATTCCCTTTTTAGCCATTGTTTGTTTACTTTTAGTTTGGCTGTTCCAATATGGTTATTTTGTCATTTTGCATTCTTGAGAGAGAGAGAGAGAGAGAGAGAGAGAGAGGGAGGGGGAGCGGGGGAGAGAGAGGGGGAGTGTGTGTGTGTTTATTTGTTTGTGTGTGTGTTGTGTGTGTGGGGGGGGGAGGTAGAGGGGGATGAGGTTGATGCAGAGATAGGAAAACGATGTTACACTTTTGGTGCACATATTATTATAATGTTCGGTGTTCTTTGCGTGTCTGTGTATCGTTGGGCCACGAATATATTTCATTCAGTGTTCTTTCAACAACTATTTTCCATAATTCATCTAACTAACTCCAGTAATGGTATTCTTATGCCGTTCTCGTCGTTACCACGGTCTATATTGTATGATGTTACACAAGGGTTGACAATACATGTACATACTCTCCAATATTGCCCTCCATCGCCTGCGAATAGTCCCTACCGTTACTCCAAGCTCCACCCACATTCTGACTGCCTCTTTCGCATTGGATTCTCAGAACATGAGTGAAGCCGATCTCGATTTCAATCTCTCTCTCTCTCTCTCTCTCTCTCTCTCTCTCTCTCTCTCTCTCTCTTTCTCTCCCATCGTTTCGCCTTCTCTTTCGTGCATGTCTTTCTCAAGATTACTGATAGATTGTTTTACAAACTAACTGTTCACTTTTTTCTTTAACCCAGCACAGTCTTTACAATGACGTTTTAACTCTCGAACGCATATCTTCTTATCTGATAACTTCTTTTTCCTCACCGGATTGTCTTAATAATGTTTTAAATCTTGAACTCAGGTTCACCAAATGCAGAATTTTTCTTAACTTCGCTTCACCTTTATTTATGACGTTCTCGAACTCTGCGTTTCCCCACTTGCGTGGATATTTATATCTGAACTGATACTGATAGTCTTGATAATGTTTTGAATTTTGATCTCAGTCAGATGTTATACATTATGTACTGAGCGTCAAGAAGCTAGGACTATTGTCCTTTAAACTCAAGATATCCTTCAAATCACTTGAATTCCTCAATAAATGACGATGACTACTCTAATCGCTCTATGCTTTTATTATATCATCATGCAGTGAATAACACCTAAAAAATTGTTTCGTCATTGTTGAAGTACCGGTGTTTTTTATAGACAAACTAGGCCACTGGCACTCCGTGTGGCTGTAAGTAGGACGGCTGACACCGCGACTTTTTTAGAACCTGCAGTTTGTTGCGACCGACTGTAGACCGTGGACCTACAACCGAACCTGCTCTAATTGCCACCTGTACAAGTCAATCACCATGTACAAATGACCACCTCCTATATGCCCTGTGTGTGTTTGTGTGTGTGTGTGTGTGTGTGTGTGTGTGTGTGTTTGTGTTTTAATAATGCAATTGTACTGTCTAAGGCGTCCGCCTGTCTAAGACAACCTCTTCTCCTTTCGACGATGGTTGGCCAGTTTTAAAATTTGCAAAATATGTTTTTTTCCGCTTTTGTATAAATGGGTGGGTGGCGGGCTGCTCATTCTTTCCTGTCAAACATCCATCGTCCATATCTTCCATCCATCTTCTCTTTATACATCACTCTCCAGTAGTAACACTTTTAATCTTCGGTCCTTATATGACTTATTTGTGTTGCAAGTGCCGTAAAACTCTTACTAAATCTAAACTGGCGGGACTTTGTTTTCTTCCGGCACTGCTATATTGTTACTATTTTGTGATGATGTGCTTCTGTTTCTTTAAAAAAAACTAAAAACTTCAATACGAAAGAGCGCTAGGCGAGAGACAGAGAGAGAGAGAGAGAGAGAGAGAGAGAGAGAGAGATAAAGAGAGACAGAGAGAGAGACAGAGAGAGAGAGAGAAACAGACAGACAGACAGAGAGAGACAGACAGAGAGAGAGAGACAGACAGAGAGAGAGACAGAGAGAGAGAGAGAGAGAGACA